AAAAAAAAAAAAAAAAAAAAAAAAACGTGGCAGTTGGTGAGCGCGCCACCTCAGCGACGCACTTGGACGACAGGAGCGCCCGACAACCACTAACGAGCGCCAGCTGTTTCACGTGGAGCTGAGTCAGGAACCGGAAGTGGAAACCACGTGGCGACCGCTGAATGGACGTCCAGCATGGACTGTTGGGAATCTGGAGTGCAGAACGTGCGTCCAGTGTGGCTGAGTGGGAATGTGCGTTGGCTGAGTGGAGAAGTGCGCTGGACGAGAGTGGAAAACGAATCTGAGAATTTCTGAAATATTCTCCACCCTCTGCACGCACACCATTTTTTCATTCCTAAGCATCCAAGTCTCTCCTCCTTCTCTCTTCATTTTTTTCTCTGCACCTTCTCTCTAAGAACCACCGTTATCCTCCTCCGTTTAGCATTTCCTGCACCATTGAAGGACGCTCAGCGTCAAGGACTTCCAGAGAAGAACGTTCGGTTAGTTAAGCTGTGTGGATAACAAGTGTTGGCACTAGGAGAAATTGTAGTGGAGAATTGTAATTTGCGCATCTGTGGACGTTCGTTCATTTTCCAAGTAAGGGAAGCTTATTTAATTTAACTAATGTATGTTGTGTGAACGTTCGTTATTTAGCCGTATGAAAATAATGCATGATGAATGATATTAGTGAATGGTATGAACGTTCGTTATTTGATGGTATGAGTATAATGCATGATATTTGATTTACTGAACTTCATGAACGTTCGTTTTCTTGGTGAAATGAGATGTGTGAATTTACATGAGATGGCCTGTATGAAGTGTGGAAATTGATGATTGATATGAACGTATGAAAATAAGAGATTTTGTGTAATGAAGAATGAACTGGAAATGCAAATGATTATTGAATAAGAACTTCCCCTATGATTCTTACGTTCGTACTGGACGGTCTTTGACCGTTCGGTCTCCCTATTTAACAGTCAAGAAATGGGATTCGTTCATTTGGAATGATCCCTAGTCAAGGACGAGCGTCCTCATGTTAAAATGATTCATTTGAGCGTTCGGTCAAGTACTGTGTTTGGTATTCTTTGATAAAAATTCCCTTCAGTTATATGCATATATACATAATAGTGTATTTTACCGTTCGTAAACCCTTCTCCGAAATTAAAGTCCATTATTTTAAGGCTACTAGCGTTCGGTCTCACTCTGAACGTTCGTTCTGGTGCTCAGTTTTGAACTGAGCGTTCGCTCTAGTGGTGCTCGGTCTCAAACTGAGTGTTCGTCCTAATAGTGCCCGGTTCTAAAGTTAGCGTTCGTCCAAACAGTGTTCCTAGCGTTCGTTCAAAATGGCGCTCGGTTTTGAACTGAGCGTTTGTCCCAAATGGCTCGGTTTTAACTGAGCGTTCGTCCAAAATGGCGCTCGGTTTTGAATTGCGCGTTCGTCCTAATGGTGCTCGGTTTTGAAAGGAGCGTTCGTCCAAAAATGGGGCTCGGTCTTACACTGAGCGCTCGCTCAAAATGGTGTTCGGTTTTTATTGAAAAAGCGTACGTCCAACTTCAGATTTACCACATTCGGTTATTGATTCACGAGCGTTCGTTCATTCAATTGATTTTCCAGGTAAATAACGTTCGTCCAATGAACAGTACCAGATTTGGAAATTTCTGAACTTAAACCGTTCGTTCTTTGATTCGAACGAGCGTCCTTTTGGGTCTCATTTATAGCGTTCGTCCTCGGTCTTTGGGGACAGAACGTTCGGTCTTGGTGGTTTTCTTATGAATAGTGGAAAAGGATTATGTATTAATGAATAGTACTTGATGAACAGTAAATGATGAATGGTAAATAATGAATAGTAAATGATGAAGAGTATATGAGATGAATGGAAAGTTGTGACTTTTGAAAGAGCGTTCCGGGGAGGAACGACTCAGAACTTGATTATTAAGATTTGTAATGTATGAATGTGGTAAGCTTAGCCGGTTGTTCATCCTGATGTTCCGTGAGTACTCGTCCTCACGTAGAGGGGGTACGTCATGTGTGGGAACGGCAGGAGGTCCTAGTCCTGGTGATTATTTGGACAGATAGGATTAACCTCGGGTGGCAGCTGATGAGAGTTCCAGTTACTACATCACCCGGGTGCACGAACACCGAAGCTACACAGAGTTCATACAGTCCGGACAGTCAGTCGTGTTGAGTTTTAATTTGTGAATACGTTAAAGTGGGTTGTTATGTAATGAATGTGTATGTTGAGATATGCATGTATGTTGAATTGTTTACCTGAAATTGCATGTTGATGCATGAGTTAAATTACGTAAGCTTACCCTTGCGTTTTCCTTGTGTTGTCTCGTTTTGTACGTACGTCCTGTCATTGCAATGATCATCCGTGTGGATGTGAGCAGAGGGAGACGAGCGTTTGGAGGATGTTCTGAACGAAGAGAATCTAGATGAAGTTGAAGTGAAGACCGAGCAGTGAGACACTCGGCTAGTAGTGTAGGTTTGTGGCAGAGTGGTCATTCGACCAACCTATGCTTTTATTTTGGCTATGTTCGACCGTTTGATAATTTCATCTGTAAACCGTTCGGTCAGTTTCCGCTTATGTTCCACCTTAATTTGTAACTCTTATTTAAGGACGTGCGGCTTTGCGCGTTCGTTTCTTTAAAGTTGTAATATTGTACTCAAGGACGTTCGTGTTGAGCGTTCATTCGTTTTTCGTTTTAGTTGGAAAGACTGTGCTGTTTTATTATTAATTGTGATTTTCTAATTATATGGTTTATGACTGTATTTTTGGGATGTCACAGCTACTTTAGGAGAAGTTAAGACTAACTGGAAGACTTTAACTATGAGATTTAACCAAGATGCGAGGGAAGTGAGAATTCAAGGAGACCCAACTCTAACAAAAAGAGTTATTACACCAGCGACATTATTGAAAGAAATTGAGATTGAAGTGGTTTCTTTGGTATGGAATATGGGTTGTACAGAATTAGAGGAGAGGGTGGATGAAGGTGAAACATTGCACCCAGAGCAGCAAGCAGAGTTGGAGGACATTTTGGAAGATTTTGAGGATATTTTCCTAGAACCAAAGGGATTACCTCCTAACCGGTCAATGAACCATCAAATCCGTGTCAAATTAGGTGTGGATCCTGTGAATGTGTGGCCCTATCATTATCCCCATTTGCTTAAAACAGAAATTGAAAAACAAGTATCTGAAATGCTAACTTCTGGAATCATAAGGCCAAGTAACAGTCCATATTCAAGCCCTGTTATCTTAATGAAGAAAAAAGATGGAAGTTAGAGGTTTTGTATAGATTATAGGGCATTAAATAAGGCCACCATTCCGGATAAGTTCCTCATTCCAGTTATTGAGGAGTTACTAGATGAATTAAATGAGGCTACTTTTTTCTATAAAGTAGATTTAAAGGCTAGATACCACCAAATCAGAATGGAGGAGAAAGATATTCCAAAGACTGCTTTCTGTACTCATCAAGGGCATTATGAATTCTTGGTGATGTCATTTGGATTATCTAACGCTCCTACCACTTTTCAATGTTTAATGAACACGGTCTTGAGGCAGTTTTTGAGGAGATGTGTACTAGTCTTTTCTGATGATATTTTAATTTATAGGAATTTATCGGAGGAACACGGGGACCATCTAAAGCAAATTCTCCAAACATTGAAACAACAACAATTGTATGCCAATAAGAAGAAATGTGACTTTGGCAGGCTACAAATAAGCTATTTGGGACATGTTATTTCTGGAAAAGGGGTGATGATTGTAAGGCCCTGTTTTTCTAAAAGGAGTGGGGAAGCATTTAATACTGGGAGACTCTAGCTGCCATAGGGAGGGGTGGTAGGTTTTGTTTTATTGGGAAAAATGGGGAGCTTGGATGTTGAAAAACAGAAAATCAGAAAATCACATTTAATAATATTTCAATACAGTTTTCCAACTAAAAACAAAACAACGCTCAAGGACGAACGTCCTTGAGTACAGTCTTACAATAATAACAAAACAGACGCGCAAAGCCGCACGTCTTCAGAGTTACAAATGAAAAAGCCGAACGTACACGAAACTTGACCGAACGGTTTACACGGCACAAATACCGAACGGTCTATCAGAATAAAATAACAAGACAAGATGGTCGAATGACCACTCTAATACAGGCTACACAACTGGCCGAGCGCCTCACTGCTCGGTCTTCACTTCGACATCAACCAGGTTCTCTTCATTCAGCGCCTCTTCCAAACGCTCGTCTCCCTCTGCTCACATCCACACGGATGATCATTGCAATGACAAGACGGACGTACAAGGACAATAGACAACACAAGGAAACGAAAGGGTAAGCTTACTTAATTTAACTCATGCATCAGTCATACAATTCATTACATAATTCATCACACATCAAGGCATTATAACGCATGCACAAAATAAGACTCGACACGACTGACTGTCCGGACTGTATGAATTCTGCGTAGTTACAGGCGTTCATGCACCCGGGTGGTGTGGTAACTGGCATTCTCATCAGCTGCCACCCGAGGTTAGTACGTCCGTCCAAAGTACCTCTAAGGACGACGACCTCCTGCCATTCCCACGCATGACGTGCTCCTCTACTTGAGGACGATCACTCACGGAATATCAGGATTGAACAGCCAGCATTAACTTCCCACAGTCATACTTTACGAATTTCAACTTTCATCTGAGTCGTTCCTACCTGGAACCCTCGTTCAATAATCATAGTTTCATTTTCATCTCGTATACTGTTCATCATTCATTACTCATCAATTCATATCCATTTTCATCATTTATAAGATTTCCATCATATATAGAGACCTACACAGAGAGAAGAAGAAGACTTTTGCTTGCCTTTTTCTTTCCTTGATTTGTTGTTGTTGTTGTTCCCTTTTCTTTATTATTCTTCAAAAAGGATAAAACTAGGAGAAGAGAAAAATTTACACCATCTCTCTCCAATATACCTGACGACACCTAATTAACTCATCAACAACTTCCATAAGACCAGTATATTAATATATACAAATAAGATTTAAAATTAACGATTAGCTACCTAGTCCCAAAAATCTCCTCTGCTTTGAGAACTTTGGTGATCTTAATCCTCCTTTCTGACTCTTTGCTTTCCTTTTACTGTTTAAAATTGAATTAAGCAACGGCAGAAATGATGCAGTTGCGCCTTATCCATGTGAGGCAATCAAAACAGCGATCAGACGAAGCTGGTGTAGTGAACCAAACTTATCCCCTTCAAACAACCTTGGCTGAGGGGGGGGGGGGGGGGGGGGGGGGGGGGGGGGGGGGGGGGGGGGGGGGGGGGGGGGGGGGTTTGGGTGGTCTGGGGGGGGGTGGAAGGGATGGTGAAGGGGGTGCAAAGCTGAATGGACCAAAATTTCTCAATCCATTACCAAATTGCTCACTGGAATCACAGGGTTGAGGTCTGGCTGGGTGGGATCCACGTTAAACTGGGGTGTGAGGCCCAATTGCCCTCCAGATCTCTGCAAAACACACCAAATTAAACCAATCTTTCGTTAGATTTCACACTTCTTTCACTCAACAACAACAAAAACAACACCCAAACCACATGATGGAGATGTTATCTCAAAGAAAGAAACTTTCTTTTCAGATTGAGACAGAAAAAAAAAATATACCTTAGGGAGAATGATGTCCATAAGCTCAGCCCCAACTCCTGAATCTTCAATTTCTGATTGGTAGCTGTTGATTTTAGCCAACAATTATAAAGTCAGAAATTTTACAAAATGAATTGATTAGACCAAAAAAATCCACAGCAAAATTAAGAAATTAGATATATATTTTTTAATTAAAAAAAGAAAGAAAACAGAAGAGTGAATACTTGATAAAGGGTGGCCTGAAGGGTCTGATGTGGTTATCAAAGGTTGAGTGGTTCATGAGGCCCAATCTTCGAGGTTTAGGGCACACCACTGATTCCATCCTCATCTCCTCGCAGGTTGTCAAGGTCTTCTTCTGCTGATAACCACACTGATTCATGTTTTTTCCTTTTTTCCCTTCACAACTCAACCGAGGATCTTGACAAGGAACAACTGCAACATCAAACACAAACAAATCAATTATTTTTCCCCAGTTGCTCTCAAAATCTGAACAAAAATAAACCAAATCTAAAAAATTCATCAACCAAAACACACAAAGAAACCCCTTTCTTCGAAATTTTCTTTCTTTTCTCCCCAAAACTCCTAGAACACAACAAAATCGTAGAATTTGAGACAAATAACAAAATACTCAAAGACCCTTTTGTTAAAAGCCTTTAAATTCAAGACCTTGAAGCAAACAAAATATTCCAAAATCTGAAAACCAGATTTTGGAAAGCTTTGCAAAAGCATAAGCTTGCAAACGCTGCCTTAGTTTTAGAGAGAGAAAAAGCGAGAGGAGTACCTGAGCAGACTCAGAGGCTCCTCCAAGAGGAAAAGAGGACAGAAAAACTGGGTGAATGTATCAAGGGAACAACCAGAGCGAGAAAGGGAAAAGAGGTGGCTGGGTATTCATAGCAGATGACTGTGGGAAAAAGAGAAGAAAAACACGGGAGAATGATAAAGTGAAACAGGGTGCAGGGGTTATACCATGAGACCGCATTCATAGACCATGTGATAAATCAATAGTGGGGTTAGACTTTTGATAGGGTGACGTGGCAATAGATGAGACATGTGATGGAAATGGCAAGGGACAGGGAGTGTGTGTTTTTTCCTTTTTGACCTTCCTATATTCATGAACCTCTGTGTTGGTGTTGTGTTCTCTGTCCTCTTCTTGTTACGGTGCATAAGGAACACCGCAAAATATAGAGATATCAATGACAACAAGATGCTCTTCCTAATATCATAAACCTTTTTTTTCTAACATTTATTTTTATATATTCACTCTGATTGTAGTAGATTAGATCTATGTCTAACTTCACATCAAATATAAATTTAATTTTACATGATACTAACAATTTTTAATGTGAGATTGAGAAATAAAAAAAAAGAATAATGAAAAATCTAATTATCATAAATTGAAAAACCACCCCCCCCCCCCCCCCCCCCCCCCCCCCCCCCCCTCCCCCCCCCCCCCCCCCCCCCCCCCCCCCCCCCCCCCCCCCCCCCCCCCCCCCCCCCCCCCCCCCCCCACCCCCCCCCCCCAGTATTTAAAACCATTTTTTTCGCAAAAATTTATTCAATAAATATAAAGTGTTACGTACAAGGTATTTTAAATTCGGATTTACTACACATGCTAAATTACTCTATTTTCAACTAATAATTTCCTTTTTCGTATTGTAACAAATGTAATTGGAAAACATTAATGATTATTTTGCTTTTTATAAGCATTAAAACGAGAAAGAACTATATAGAGTGCGCATTGAGTTGTCTGTATCTTTTGCTGATGACAATTTTGGAAACATCATCATAACGTATAAAGGAAATTATGCTTATCAAATCTCTTTAGTGACATTTCCTTTGAATTAAAACATGCTAAATTGATTATATGCACAATTAATCTATGTAAAAGGCATTGTAATCTATTATAAGTTCTAATTAATTTACCTTCTAATACATTCTACACTTCATTGATGTTAAATTTAATGCTCATTTTTCATAAGAATTGAAGATTTAATATATTTTTTCCTTTCATATATCCTGAGCAAATTATATAAGTATAAACTAATAGAAAGATGTAATTATATATCTATAAAAAGTAGTAGCTGAAAAGGAAATATAATTACACTCTATTTACTGACTCAATTAATTCCTGACACTATTATTCACATTCAATAACGTGTAAAATAATTATATACACAGTACCTTCGAATAAAATTTATAATGATAAAAAAAATATTAATAGATAATAGATATAAGTAATTTTGTAACGGGAGGAATAAAAAATAACTCATCTTCATATCAAATATTCTTAATCTATTTATTAGCTAAGTTGATTTTGTAATATTAAATTAAATTTTAATTTTAATTTTAACGTTAACATTAACATGATATCAAAATTATAAACTAGAGTCTATAATAAGTTTTTTATTAGATTTATTGTTTTATCAATTATCAAAATGTTTAGTCACACGTTATATATATATATATATATATATATATTTAATATTATAAATTTATAATTTACATTAAGTGTAATTATTTTAGGTACATTTTTTCACGATAAAAAGTTAGATACCGTTGCTAATGGGAAAAATATCATCAATTGAAGATTATACTTAGAGTTTATTTTTGCTAATTTATATGATATTTAAACTAATGAAATTAAACAATCACATCAGGTGTATAACACCTCTTAACCTATTTGTGTCGTTTATGTAAAATGCTAAACATTTTATAATTTAAACTTTTTATTTTCAAAATTGAAAAATTTATACAATCCATACCAAATTAATCCAATCAGTTAAATTGAATTAAAAGTTTAAAAATATAATTTTTGATTTAAGATAAATTTATTAAAATAAACTTAAAATAATATGAATTTGAACAATTGAACTCTATTTAATCATAATACAAAATTCTTGAAATATATCTAAACTGTAATTACTATTAACTTATTATTGAAAAAACAAGTCAATGTGAGTTAATAAATGTTATACATGCATGGTTTTAATAAATAATTCATTTTAACTAGTAAATTTAAAAAATAGAGTAAAAACTATGAATCATTGAAGTTAGAGAGTAATTGTGTATTATATAAGGATAATGATACTTTGACAACATTTTTTTGACAACATTTTAACATCATCTATGTATCACTCTGATTAGTCCAAAATTACTCCACAATCAATAATAATAATCATAAACACCAACACCAACATGAACCAATTACAGAATGACACGTAAATAATGTTAAAATATTGTAAAAAAATGTTGTCAAAGTATCATTATCCATTATATAATGTGATATCTAAAGATGATGTGAAGCACTATAAGTGTATTATTATTATTATGATTATTATATTATTATAATTAGTATTATATTAGTATCAATTATTTATCATGCTATTATTATTATTATTCTGATAGGAGTATTAGTAGAGTAGTTGAGTCTGTACCGTAATTTTGAAGGTGTATAGGACATAGTCGATCCATATGGTCAATGAATATATATTATAAGCATATATTATATGGTGATGTTACTGACGAAAAGGAACCAAAAAAACCCCAGGTGAGGAAATACATATCAATAGTCACCTACATGTAATATAAAACCATTGAAGTCCAATCAATACCAAACTCCAACAAGAATTTCTCTTATGGATTGACTCTGTATTTTACTGTATTTTTTTATTTTGTTTTTCTGTTGTTCTGGTTATAGAAGAATATATGAGAATGACTTGTAAAAAAACAATATTATTGAATGAAGATGTAATAATGAGTAGAGGAGTGGGGGAACACCAAGCACAAAAAAAACCAAAATGCAAAACACGAATCTCTTGATCTGCAAAACCAAAGCCACCATGGTCGCATAAATTAAAGGCAAAAGTAGCATCCCTGCTTAGTTTAAAAAGCTTGCTTCACATATCAACCAATCTTTCATTTAGGTTCCACAGATACACAAATTATATCAGTTAAGTAAACCATTCCAAAAAAATAATATCTACATGTCAATCAATAATGACATTTTTTTACGGATTATTTATATTTTTATTAATTTAAATATAATTATACTTATCACATTCAATACTCTTACATTGTTTAATAGTCAAAGTTAAATATACTTTTATTTCTAGTCACTTTTTAAAACATTTTTTTAAAGACAAAAATCGTAATGAACAAATTTTCAAAATAGACAATTTAACTAGAAGTATGTCAGACTTGGAATAATAATATTTATAAATATACTTTTATTTTAGTTCTCTTATTTAATTTTAAAAATAGTGATTACATGTTATACTTTATTAGTGTAATACACGTTAATAATTCAAGTGTGAGACCAACCATATAAGGTTGAAGATCTATAACCTATTGTCTTAAGGGATTGACACCACTTTTTATTCAAAACCTTAAAACAATAAGTCGATGAATCTTCAACTTTATAAATACACTTAACACTTTAATTATCGAAGTTATATTTATTATTATTATTATTATTTGGATTATGTTCTCGTTGAGAGGAATTTGTAAGGTTGATTTTTAATGTATATGTGTTACTTTTTCTCATTATTATTCAGGGACAACGATAGCTTTTAAATGTTTTGTGTGTTAAGTTTAATTTAACAGTTAGTCTAATCTAATTGTAGTGTTGCAATGTTTCTTATATTTTATATATTTTATTTAATTTTGCAAGTACTACAATCTTCATGGAAAGCTTTCAACAATAAGTCTTTTGAATATAAAATTGTCTATATATCACCGTAAAGCATTTGAAATTGTTTCTATGATAATTTCAATGTTATTTATTCTTACGTTACATTTAATGTTACGTTAACTTTCGACCACCGCCATTTTGGACATTTGTGTTTCATAATGCACCTAATGTCCATTGTGTTATTTTTTCTATTCCAGCCTTTGTGTTATTGCACATTTTAGATTGTTTGATTTATTGGTGTTCTTAACAAAATTATTGGTTAGAATCAAGTTTCAAACAGAAAAGAAAAAACTCAAGTAATATAATATGAGATACTACTTAAAGTCCTCATCCCTTTCATTAAATCCAATACTCCGAAATGAGTATTGATTTTTGAGGTATTAATTTATTCTTAAGAAAAAACGTATCAAGTACAAGCCTCTTAAAGTATTAACTTTTTACGGTATACCCAATTGAGATCCAGAGGACTTTCATATTTAAAATCACTATGTAGGTTGAATTTGAGAATATAGTATAATGATGATTGTATGATTTTCTTATTAAAATACATTGTTATATGGTTATAAATCATATTAATACTAATAATAATACTTGATCAGTCTTGTGGAAGTCTCACGTCGACTAGAGATAAGGTTAATTCATACTTTATAAGTGGATGGCAAACTTACCTACAGCGGTTTTGTGGAGTTGAGTTAGGCTTAAAGTCCACTTCTAACAAGTCTTGCAAAAATAGTTATTATATGGAAGTTAAAACCATCGTCATTTTGATCAATTTTGAATGACAATTGAATCAACAATAATTTGACTAGTATCATCTAAGAGCTTATTTCAACCATAATTAAAAACTTTTTTTTTTGTTAGATTCTCTTTAATTACTTGTGATAATTTTGTTGATAAAGAAAACTAATAGAAAACAAGATATTCTATTACGACCCAGACATTTAACAAAATTTTGAATACAATCGACATAAGTGAAAGAAGTATAGAATTATATGACATTATAGAAATAGAATAAGTTGGTCAATTTTGGACCCTTCAAGGAAAAAAAATCAAGATGACCTAAAATAAAATAAAAAATTAATAGAACCAAAGTTGATGAAGAATTTACTATTGTCATGAAAAAGAATAAAAATGAATAATAAAAAAAAAAGTTTATAATAGTTTTTGTAATGTATATGACCAATTACTTTGGTCCTAATAATATGATTTCATGCCTAACAATTAATGTTATATATCCTAAGATCGTCTATCGAGGATTATCACCTACTGAAAGTATGTATTGTTATTAGAATCAAGTATTGTCTATCAAAGTTATGTGCCACTTACAGGGTCATGTGTCACCTATTAGGATGTATGTTCGCTACCAAAGCATAAGCGAACTCCTTACTAAGTAGTCTAACCGAGTACATATCGGCTTGTTCGACTACCAATCGATCTATCCGACTACTAATTTGTCTATTCGACTACTTAACGATTTGTTCGACTACCTGTCGGTCTATACGCCTATCTCACTACCTATCGACCTGTATTTTTGGTGAATGTTTCCATAAATTCTTTTATTATAAATTTTTAGAAGCTTAAAGATATATTATTCCTTATCCTCACTTTTCTTCCAAATTTAGTAATTTTGGTAAAAAAAAAAATGGTTAGTAGCAATCTAAGATTCTTTTTTCGCTTAAATTCTTGCTTTTTTTTTTTTAAGGAGAGTAGTAGGTGGTGGAAACTAGAACAAATGGAAAGTTTGAGAAGCATGATGTGATTACTTTGTTGCGGTTCATGGATTCAGTTAGGAGAAGACACTAGTTATGGAGCATAGAGCATGTGAGACATAGATGGAATGGTTAGCATATTGTGATGGTACAAAATGATGTATAACTGCATAGACCTAACTTGTGTTAGCTAAGAAATGAGTCCACCATGTTAGGTAGGTGATTGAAGTTCATGTTTTCTACCCCCAACAACACCTCAACATGATTGCACTTCACACCCTTTCTAATATGCACATGATTGATAATCACAATAAGAAAAAAAAGAAAGAAGATTGTATATAGATATATAGATGTAGGAAAATTAAGTTATTTTATGAAGGATATTATGAGGCATGAAAAGGAATCCAAAGTGTAAAGTGGGGCTTATATATTCTATTTCAAAAGTGGAAATGAAATGACAAATAGCACTTTGAATGTTGGCAATGGCATGTGATTCTCGAATGCACACTCTTTTCTTTTCTCCCATTTCTTCTCTTTTTCTATTGCTTTTATATTCACATCGATTCAATTCCTAGGGACAACTTCCTTTCTACCTTTCACCTAATACTTTCTAACTTATATTATAACTATTATGTTTATTATTCTATATATTTCTCACACATTTTTTACAATTTATATTATTATGTTAAATTTCTACGGATATTAAAACATTTTTATTTCATGAAAACATTCAAAGAAGTAGTAAACAACGTACCTTTTGCAAATAATAATAAAATAATGATATCATTTTAATTTCGTACTAACAAAATTAAAACAGCAATTTATTACATAAGTTAAAATCATGTTACTATTTTGATATGGTATCAGAATAATTTAAATCCTATTTTAATAACAATTTCACTTTGTCTTACCAATTGTATTTGAATCTTTTTTATTCTCACGATCAATGTTCTCGATGTGAACACATATTGTCTTTGATTTAAAAAAATGTTTTAAAAGTTCTATATCTAAAAATTAAACCAATTTATAATAGTCGGGACAAACTTCTTTTATTAAGCTTATCTAATTAATATTGAGTTAAACTTATATTCTATTATTTTAATATGAACCATTCAAAGTTTATGATAGTCAAAATTTAAATTTATTGGACTAATCTAAACAAACTTTATTAGGTAAATTTTTATAAAATTTGAGTACTTATTTTTTAAAATAGATTATCACTACAAAAAATTAGATTTTTACCGGGGGTTATTTTTTCCGTTTTCCGGCGGTTTTAACCCCCGAAAAATATGTTACCCGCGGTTTAGAAAAACCTGGAGTTGGAGGAAAACCTGTGTCGCTAAGTAATATACTTACCGCGGTTTTTTTAAAAACCGCCGCAATTAGCGGGGGTTTGAAAAACCGCCGTAGGTATAGTGGGGGTTTCACTAAAACCGCCGGAAATAACCGGGGTTAAGCAAACCGCCAGTAATTTGTGAGGGTTTATGAAAACCGCCCGGTACTTTTGAGGGTTTTCCAAAACCGCCGGAAATGTAAATAATTTAAATTTTTTTTAATATTCAAATGACTTGATTATCATTAATAAACCAAAATAAATAATATGGAACCAAAATTAAATAAAACATTAATATAAAACCAAAATATTTTATATAAATTGTAAACATTAGAAATACAATTAATGTTTCTTAAAAATTAAAATTAACATGTTATGAATATAATTATAGTTTTGTACTTCTTCAATTGTCTTCTTCATTTGATACTTTTTCATTAACTTCGTCATTTGGTACTTCTTCATTTTTTCCATCATTTGATATGCTTCCTTTTTCAAATACCTAAAATATAAAACAATAATTAGTTAATTTTTAAAACGGTTCAATTCACTAATATCTCTTCACCCTCACAAAGTAAGCTAGTGTTTGTGAGATGCACAACCCTGCATGTGGGTCATCACCATTTATGCTACACCAACAAAATTAATGCAAGGATTTTCCTAAGCTGCTTGCTTTGCCAACTTTTGGAACATAAAGTTCTAAGCATTCTCTTTACCTGTTTACCTCTTCTTTTTTGAAATTATACACTTGTTCTCTAACTCCTTCAGGGTCCGCTGTTGCAATTTGTCATAAAAGTAGAGTGCATATTCAAAGACACATTATACCTTGTCATTTCTAAAAAAATTGAAATTAAATCTTACCATTTCTGTGTTTACTTAATCAGCAGTAGTGGATTGTGTATCTTTCAATTCTCAATGCATATTATATACACACTAGATTACTGAGTTTGGAAATGAAATATAACTCTTATTTTAACTGCTATTTCCACTGTTTTTACTTAGAAGTTGAAATCATACTCACAGAATAATTGGGAACAGGATGTGACATATCAGAAAGATGGCATGTAATTTTCACCAAACAATACAGCTCACCCATTGCCGAAGGAAAGGGGGAAAACAACAAAGAAATACAGTTAAACTAAACAACAATATAATAGAAAGTTGGCCATAATTATAGTCATGTAATGCATTATGTATAATTACTTTTTGGAGGAAAATGCATGTTGCAGTAACGTCACATACGTCACGTGAACCTTTATCATAAAAAACTCATCCCATCAAAACGGGAAAACATAGGCAAAATAACTAAAAATGGCTTTACCATATATTTAAGACATATTTTAGACATTAAACAACTATTAATAACATATACAATGTTTTATTTGAGTTTTGATCTGATATTATATTCTCGTGTTTAAGTTTATGACAGACTAAACAATCACTAACATTTTTCTATCATAAATTTATTTAAATTTTTCATGCAATTCTGATCTCTCTTGCTTGTTATTAGTACTGTAAATTTTTGTAACATGTTATTGCTCTCAGTTAAGAATTGTTCTAAACTGATTCCCTTCCCTTTTCATTTCCAGAAGATCAGCCTCAACCTTTGGGATGCTTTCCACATCACTGGGCAATCTATTTGATCTCATCCCAAGTGATGCAAAGAAAAGAAGGCNCGAAACATCAAAAACGAACGTTCTGTCCGAATAGACTAAGGACGAACGCTGTGAGCAAGACCAAGAGACGCTCGTTCGAATAAGAGCACGAACGGCAGAATTTCCATGACGTACACTGTTCATTGGACGAACGTTATTTACCTGAAAAAATCAATTGAATGAACGGACGTCGTTAAGAATCAGAAAACGAAGGTGGTAAATCTGAAGTTGGACGTACGGTTTTTCAATAATACCGAACACCATTTTGAGCGAGCGCTCAGGTGTAAGACCGAGCCTCATTTTAGGACGAACGCTCCTTTCAAAACCGAGCACCATAGGACGAGCGTTCAGTATAAACCGAACACCTTTAGGACGAACGCTCAATCAAACCGAGACCATAGGACGAGCGTTCAGTATAAACCGAACACTCTCAAGGACGAACGCTAAGTTCAGAACCAAGCACTATTGGACGAACGCTCAGTTTGAGACCGAGCACCAACTAGAGCGAACGCTCAGATCAAAACCGAGCGCGATTTGGGACGAACGCTCAGTTCATAACCGAGCCCTATTTTGGACGAACGCTCAGTTCAAAACCGAGCGCCAATTTGGACGAACGCTCAATTCAAAACCGAGCGCCAATTTGGACGAACGCTCAATTCAAAACCGAGCACCATTTGGACGAATTGCTCAGTTCAAAACCGAGCGCCAATTGGAACGAACGCTCAGTGTTGAGACCGAAGCGCCTATTAGAGGGAGCGTTCAGTATAAGACTGAACACCAATTTGGACGAACGTTTAGTATAAGACTAGGACGAACGTTCAATTTAGATTTAGGACGAACGTTCAGTTTAATATATGGACGAACGCTCGGTATAAGACCGAACGTTTAATAGCTCAGATTGGTAGAACTTGAAAAATAAACTAAGATACTTTTAAAGAAGTATTTACGAACGGTTAGATAAACAGTTGCATATACACAGACAATTACAAAGAGATAGAAGTTTATCAAAAACATTAGCTTCAACAGTGTTTGACCGAACGCTCAAATAGAACATTTTAGAGTGAGGACGCTCGTCCACAACCACAAATTTACCCAAATGACCGAACCAACATTTCAAACATATTACTACGGAAAACCAACATTTTCGGTTCACTTCTCATCATAATTACATAATTACGTTCGTTCTAATCACCCCAAAATCTCAGATTTCATACCACTAATATCATGCAATTTTCATACGTTTCAATTCACCAATAATAACGAACGTTCATACATTCAAAAAATCCAATATCATGCATCATATTCATACAATCAAATAACGAACGTTCACACACATACAAAAAACCAGTTAAATTAAATAAGCTTCCCTTACCTGGAATGACGAACGTCCACTGACGCACACAATTTCTCCTTTCCACTACAAATCCTCCTCGTCAACACGCGTTAAACCAAGCTATAATGAACGAGCCCAACCGCCAAATCAGAATTACGCTACACTAAGAAAAGACGAACGCACAACTCAGAATTGAGTTTGCATACGCGGAAAACGAACGTCCAGAGAGTGGGAAAAGGCTTACGTACGTTCCCACTGCCAGCGTACGTTCCCACTGCCAGCGCATTTCCACTAACGCTTCTGACAGCCTTCTGCCAACGCACGTTCCCACTACGTTTTTGACTAAATTTCACGCGTCCGTTAGCGTGTGTCACACGCTGCTGTCTTTACGTGCGTCGCTGAGGTGGCGCGCTCGAAGGCTGCCACGTTTTTTTTTTTTTTTTTTCAGGCCTGACAATATATGTTGTATTTGATGCAAATCTGGGAAGAATGGGATGAATATTTGGGTTCTGGTTTCGTTTCTGGGTTTCTGCAAATTCTGAAATTCTGCAGGCGCGTTCGTCCAATTTGGCTTCAAATTAGACGTTCGTCCAAATTATCGAGCGTTCGTTCAATTTGGTTTCAAATTGGACGTTTGTCAAAAATGGCTCGACCAAGGTGGGCCAAAATATTGAACGTTCGTGCTTAATGGCTCGACCGTGGTCGGCCAAAATATGTTGAGCGTTCGCTCTTGTGACGAGCGTCCACGTTCGTAATTGTGAGTGTAGCGCTCGGCCTTAGTGAACTAGGAATTGTGACGTTCGTCCATAAATCCTTAATTACAGAGAGTGATCTTGAGCGTTCGGTAATTGATATTAGTGAGTGCAGTCGTTGTCCTTGATATGGATTCTTAGTTTCAAATTTAAAGGTTCGGTTTTAGTGAATTAATGAGCGTTCGGCCTTGTTTCTGTATGTGTAAATAGTAAGCGTTCGGTCTTGTCTAGGTTAATCTTTGAGCGCTCGTCAAAAAGTGTTGAAATTGGTGTTCGGTAGTTAAGCGTTCGGCCTGATTAATTGATCTTGAGCGTTCGGCCGTGTAATTCTGATTGTGAGCGTTCGGCCTTCATTTAATCTGATTGTGAGCGTTGGCCTTCATGTAATTCTGATGTGAGCGTTCGGCCTTCACGTAATTCTGATGTGAGCGTTCGTCATAATTAGTATTCTAAGTTTGATGAATCTTAGACGTTCGGCCTTGGTATGTTAGTGAGCATAAGCGTTCGTTCTTAAATTGGCATTCTCGAGAGCGATCTGGTGCGTTCGGTCTTCATTTGATAGTCTTAAGTTTGGATCTTGAGCGTTCGGGTCTGGATATCTGTTAGTAATATTAGCGTTCGACCTAAATCACGCATTCTGAGGGTTAGATTGTAAGCGTTCGACCTTGATGATGTTCGATCTTTTAGCGCTCGTTCAAACAATAATGTCCAATGGTTTAGCGTTCGGCCTAGTAAGGAGTGATCTCACAGCGTTCGTTCTAGAAGTGTTCGGTCCATATGGATTTCGGTACTATCGTTCGGCCGAATAGTGTTCGATTATGGTACTCGGGTTTTACGTTCGGCCTGATAGTATAGGATTTGATAACGTCCGTCCAAATAGCGTTCGGCCTATTGATTGGTAATTAGCGTTCGTCCGATGTTTGGCAATTATGCGTTCGTCCATTTGGCAATTAGCGTTCGTCCGTGGTGTTCACTTAATAGCGTTTGTCCTAGGTGATGAATAGTGCTCGTCCAAATAGTATTTTACAAATAAGTTGGATTCCAAGTTCCTTTGCTCTTGGGTTGAATTATGTGTACCAATGGTTGGAATATTGTCTGTGACGTGATTTATTTGAAATATGTGAATGTATGAAATATGTTGGATTTGTTGTGATAATATGGTGGTATCTGATATATTCATAATTGTGGTTAAGTTTCAAAGTAACAATATGATTCATGGACGTAATTCCATGATCCTCAAGGAGAGGATACATGGTGGTGTTTTGGGGTTGTATAGAATGATTACATGGTACTCAGTTTTGGGGGTCATCCTGAAGCTCCATTGGTCTTTCTTTTCATGTAGAGAGGATTGAACATGTGGTGAGGTAGCAGAGGTCCTAGTCTTGGATGCTTCCCATATGATCCGAGGTGAGTAAATAACGGAATTAACCTCGTGATTATGAGGAACTGTGGCCAGGGCGGGAGTGCCACAAGTTAACACCAGGCGGTAGTGCCAATGTTCTACAGCGGAGTGCCTAATGTTCCACCAGGACGGTTGCCTAAGTTCCATCAGCGGTAGTGCATAAGTTCCACCAGGCGGTAGTGCCTAAAGTTTCACAAGGCGGGAGTGCCAGGGCGGGAGTGCCCAAGTTTCATAAAGCACACACGAGTACAAGACCCGCATATAATCTCGGTAATCATTCTAGCCGGACAAGTCGGGGTTAAAGTAACAAGTCTTGTGATGTCAGTTTACCATGTTTGGATGAATGTTTTCATGTCATGGGAGTGTGTGAATATAGATCAATGAGTATGCTTTAATTGTTATTTTATATGATCTTGAATGATGCATGAATTAACGTGTTTAGGTATAACATGCTTTTATCTAGCTCACCCTTGCATTGTTTGTGTTAGGTGTGTTGGGGATGTTTCTTTGGCGATGATCATCCACTTGGATGGGAGCAGATGACGGAGAGGATACTTTGGAAGCAGCCCGATGGAGATGGCAGTGTTTGCAGCTTAGATTAGCTAGTCTTATTTCGTAAATTCTTATGTTGGAAGAATCTGTGTGTTTTAAGTTTTAAATTCTCCGGGATTTTTCATGGAGAAATTCCTAATACTCGTTGTCAATTCCGCACTATTCTGAGGATGACTGTAATCCTTAAATTACTCTTGACTGCTTTCCTATATAGCATGATGACGTCTTTATTATATATGAATGATGTATATAATTGGGACGTTACAATGATGGACCCAGAGAAGATTAAAGCTGTGAAAGAATGGCCTGAACCGGCATAATATCAAAGCTCTTTAGGGGATTCTTAGGGCTATCGGTATTATAGGCGGTTTATTAAGGATTATGGGAAGATTGTTAAGCCATTGAAAAATCTCTTACGAAAGGGCAATTTGAATGAACTTCCCAAGGTAAAGCAGGCCATGCAAACCCTTAAAATTTTCTCACAACAGCACCATGTTGGCACTACCTGATTTGTCACAGATTTTCCCTCTGGAGTGTTATGCATCTGGAAAAGGTATTGGGGCAGTTTTGTCACAAAAAGAAGACTATTGCTTATTTTAGTAAAGCCTTAATGGTTCTTCCTGTCAAACTCTATATATGAGAAGAAATTGATGGCTTTGGTTCTTTCTATTCAACATTGGAGACCATATTTGTTGAGGCAAAAACCTATGGTGCATATAGATCAAAGAAGTTTGAGGTATTTGTTGGAACAACATATAACCACTCAAATCAACAAAATTTGTTGGCCAAGCTTTTGGGTTTCGAGTTTGAGATTGCATACAGGTCTGGTGTCACTAACAAGGTGGCTGATGCATTGTCCCGCAAATTGGAGGAGCCTATAAACTGCAGAATTAGAAATTGAGGGCATTCTAGGCCTTTTTGGCAAGATTTTGGAAATAATGGGGGGTACAACAAGACTATTTACTTCAAAAGATCATTAGATTGGAGAGAAAAACACCTGTCTTCACATCCGAATTTCACAATGGAGCATGATACTGTGGATGTAACACATCCTTTGCCACAAACTCGTTGCACAATTGCCATTGATTTCAATTGAGCTGCAACCAGGAAATCTTTCTTTACCCTCTCTTCTTCATTATATTTCTTGCGGTTCCTGCCCTCCTTCCACATTTTTTGCCTCACTGTAATAGTAGCAAAGCAAAACAATAAACTACCACTATCTTGAGGTCCATCTCAAGAGAGTTTCAAGTGCCCTCTCTCCCATATTAAAAACGATTACCATGAAACACGGACATGCAAAGAATAAAGCACCCCACACAGCAGCATCTGACTGCTATTCATATTTCTAATAACTCTTCGCTTCCTCCAAATGACCAGCCCTTCCTAAAAGATCCACCATGCAACGAGTAGTGTTAAGCTGAGGAGTTATATTAAAGTTAAAGCTCATTTGGGAAAAGTATTTTCGGCCTTCTTCAACTAAACCTCCATGACAACAAGCTGATAAGACACCAAGAAAAGTGATCTCATCAGGTCTTAAGCCACTACGGATCATTTCTGAGAAATAGGATATAGCATCCCAGGCATTCCCATGAAGTGCTAAACCACAAATAATGGCTGTCCAGTCAAACAATTCTGTTGAGGAACTACTTGGAAAACACTGGGAGCCTTGCCATATTCCCACACTAGCATACATGCTAACTAGTGCAGTTCCCTATGAACATCGGAGAAATACTATCCTTTTAGTATAATGGTGATCTACATATTCTACGTCAAGGCTCCTAGTTGTGAGCATGGCAGACAAACAGTTAACATGGTAAACTTATCAGTTTGATGTTCTTAATTTGCATTTCATGAACAGAGCCAGGCGCCTCTTTACTATTCTTAGCTTGGACCACAGCCACTATGACTTGCATTCAGGCACAACCACTCTTTTCTGGAATTTTATACAAAAAGCTCCCGAGCGACACATCCAGAAAACCAAATCTAGCATACCCCAAAACCCATTTCGTCATGAAAACAAGGTCTTTGTGCCATTTTATTCAAAAAATTCGTGCAGCCACAGGTCTCCACACTTACATACATTCCATAAGTGCATTACTGAGTGGGATGTGTCAACTCATGCCATGTTTCTGTGACATAAAGATGAAATTTTCTACACGAGATTCAAATCCTGCGAGTTGAGAACAAAGAAAGAAATAATCCCAATCATCGTTAACTCTCATTTGGTTTCACTTTCTCTCCCACCATTTTCTATAGAGTTTTTATGCTCAGTAGCTAGCCCTTTCTAACACATCCCGTAATCATGGCATTCCATGTTACCAAGTCTCTCACACAACCATTGTTGAACACATCATACCTGCTCCAACTCTCCAAGAGGTAAAATAGTTATTGATGCAATTGATAAATAATGTTACCAATAAGGAGTATTGGAAATCTTGAAGAAAGTTGTTGT